TTTGCTGGAAAACACAATATCTCTGTATAGTTAGCTATGTACTTGCAGAGTAACAAGGTCTGGGGGATTTGTATTGTCCAGATTCAAGGCTGTCTGTGTGGGGAGAGAAATGTCTTGTGAGAGTATTGATCTGGCTTTTAGGAGCTGTTTCTAAAATTAAGGCTAATCCTACTTGAATATAGATGTATACAGATTTGTATTCGATAACTTTCATCATTTTAGAAGTTGCATATACAACTTTCCTCTTTTGTGGTTGCTTCTGCAGAGAATTTGACGAAGGAGTATGTATTTTCCACACTTTAGAATACCTTTTTTTTTTTTTCTGGACAGTGTGAAGCAAATATTTGCTCTTAGCTGGCAGTGGTAAAAATTAAATATTCTGTGTACACACATACTTAGGTATAGATGTGCAATCTGTAAGAATGTGCCGATGTGTGTATGTGTGCATATATATATATATTACTGTGCATAAATACAGTGTGTGTATACATACATATATATATGCATCCTAATAGGGATAAATGACTTTTTATTGTGATAATGATTAACATGGTCTTCCAGTACTGAGTTTGCTTTATCTCTTGCCTATTAGTCTTGGCAGAGTTCAAGCGGGTGTCATCTTACATGCATTTTGAGTTATTAATGCTTGCATATAAAAATACATATAAATATAAACATTATAAATTGCAGCTACACCCAGTGTTGAGTGGGTGCTGAAGTGTTGATCAGTGTTGGTGACCTTACAAAGCATAAGGGCTGGGTTTGACCAGCAAGCCAATTCCCTCCAGTGGCCAAGCTTTTCCCTTAAAGAGGTAAAGAAATTACTTAAGTCTGGTATATAAACTAGTACTGTGGCTGTTTTTTAACTTGCTCACATCAAGCTGAAGGGCCAGGCTGTCATTTCTGGGTCTGAAGTTTGTCTTCTCCCATGAGCTATGTGGCTTTAGTCTCAGAGCTGAGGGCTTATGTCAGTGTGACTCTCCAGGTAACAGAAGTGCTGGAATTGGACTGGCACGCTTGGGCTCCCTGGCACAAGCTGCTGGGATTAACACTGGCATGGTGGGCTGCCTGACTGTGTTTGGGATATTCAGTAAGGCATTTGGAAATCTAAGCCCTTGTTTCCAGAGCACAGGCTTTTTTCAGGTTCAACCAGGGTGACTCTTTGAATATTCTACCTGTGTTTAAGTTGTGGTTTTGGGTAGCTGGGAGTCAACACATGATATAAGCAAATGGGAATATTTCTTTAGCCTGTGTGCTTCTATGCAAACTAGTATTAATATATGTTGGGTTTTCCCCCCCCCCCTCAGCTGAGGATGATCCTTTTCTTTGAATTTAGCTAGCAAAAATAGTTGAGAAGCTGAGTTATCTAAACCTTGCTGTTTTAAATCCAAGTTAGATACTGAAGAATTTAGCTTGATTCTGAGGAAAAAAAAAAAAACAGTGTGTAGGGTATTAAATGGGTAATTGTTTTTGGAGAGCCTTGGCTCTAACCTAACTCAAATACTGGCTATAGTAAAAACTAAAAATACCTGCCTTCAGTTGATGGTGTAATCCAGAAGTAAACATAGTACATTCCTTCGTTTGTGAACAGCAGCGAAATTGACTGTGTGCCTGATCAGTACATTGTGAACTGGTGTAACCTCATGTTTCTCTGTGTTAGCAATTATGTGGAGTAGTTACACCTATATTTTGCAGAAAGAAAGAAGACTGAGATTCTCAGATTCTCAGCAAAACTGTAACACTGAATATTCTGTGAAGTAGCTGCTACTTTTGTGTTTTTCTTCAAGTGTAACTGTTCCTGCTTTGACATTGATTATTGTATGTTCTCACTTAAGATGAAAAATTGATAACCAGGTGCTTAGTGTGTAGCTAATGGAAACCATGTATCTTTGAGATTATTAGTGATGTTTTCTATAGTGAAAACACAGTATTTTTTGTTGTTGTAAAACTTGCTATATGTTAAAGCAATACCGTTTTTGCCTCAATACCGTGAAATGTATTTCAATGTGAATGCTTTAAGGACTTGAAGCTGTGAAACTGGTGCTTAAAAAAAATGTTTCATGTGATCAGTCAGTGCATGTAAGCTTTTTCTCCTGAAGTAATTTCATCATGTTTATGAAGACTTAGTTGCTAGACTTAAGTCACAAGGATTTCAAGTTTTTCCTAGGTATCTTTCTTTTTAAAATGTTATTTTAAAATACATTCCAGTGAACTGAAAGCGATGAGCTCTGGCTCCTGCTCAGGATTGTGTCCTCTGCTCTGCCTAACACTCATGGGTAATCCCACCTCTACTCTAGCAGCCTGCTAGTACAACCTAGGAAGCTGAGTGCTGGCTGTGGGATGTGAGTTTTGGATATGGGAGTGCACCCTTGCCTTTTGGGTTGCGTTATATCTTTGCGTAATCTTCAGACGTGTGACAGGTGGCCACTGAGGAAGTGAGTAGGGACAGCGAGGCCTGTTTGTGAAGGAAGGAAAAGGTGTTACAGTTCAGGCAGTTGTAGTTTGATAGTCTGACTTACTGGTGAGGACTTGGCTTCCTTTAGCTGTCTTGAGTAAAGAGTGTCAATTAGAGGAGTTCCTGTGCAGTTGCGATTTCAAATGAAAAATGAGTTGTGTTGTCTTTATCCCCAGGTACTCCTCGTGCATCCTTTATGTGCAGGTGCCACCTTCTGTTTAAATCAACTGAAAAAGTCTGAGATTTGAGATATTAGCCATTAACTAAAAGTCATCTCATAACTGTAAAGTATTAGCAGCCATAATCTGAGTATAAGATCTAGTGTATATGGTTGTGTCCTGTGGTCACTGTTGTGTGCAGACTGTCTGAATCCAAATGATTTTGATCTTCAAAATGGTAAACATCATCTTTGCAAGAGAAAGTATTCAGAAACTCTTTCATTGTTCTTTTCTTTGCAAGTGGTGTTCTGTAGGCAAGGAGTCCTTTCCCTCTGCATAGTTGGTTTGAGACAGTTTAGAAACAGGAGTTAGTTTGGCTCTTTGGGGGTTTTGGAGGGTGATGGTAGTTGGCTCACCCCTCACCTCATCTGTTGTCTATTTTCCATGAACCATTATATGTTGTGGTGATGGATTTGCAGAAGAAGACCTTTGTGTTACTTGTTTAAAGGGGTGACAAACATGTCTCAAATAGATGTGTTTTGTGATTTTCATTTCAATTTTAAACAAGCATGGACTCTTTGCAGTATTTTTAGTCTCTTTCAATTGTAAATTAGAACTTGAAAACCATCTTTGTAAGAGTAACAATTACAGCCTCAGTTAGCCTTTAAAGATGATCAATATTATACCTTTACATTTTTTCCTCTGGACTTAAGGTGAAAGGCATGCCTCACAATGAAAAGTCTTCAAGCAACAAAATCCACCTCTTGCTTATGATGACAAACAGTACAAGATTCACTTTGCATCCTTGCTGTATTTTTACATCCTTGAGATTTTGTATGATCAAAATGCCAAATTTCTCTAAAGTGTGTATCTATCGTGGCAGTCTTCAAAGACAAAAGCAAATTAAAAAAAAGACTAACTTTTACATACGGACATAAGATACTGATCTTTGTCTTTCTGCAAAAGTGACAAAAAATCCAGAAGGTCATCTTCCATGCTTCATATGGTGGAATGTGTTACCTCTTTGGTCTGCTTGTTTTTTATTATAAAACCACAGAAGGTAGAGCTGCTGGCAGTGATAATATGACTTCTCCCATTTCTACTCTTTTCCCAGATTTAAAAAGGGGAAAAAAAAGAGAGAGATCAAGTCCCAGACATTTGCACTGATGTGTCCCTGACCACTTAGAGAAGATGAATGGGTTTTATAATTCCTGGATCAACATACAACATCTAAACATTTCAATTTAGATTTCATTAATCTTGGGTAACTATTTACAATAGGGGATAAAGGGTTTTGTGTTTACTTCTTTTCCCTAGGCGTTTTGATACAAGTGTTTGACCCATAGGAATTATCTTTTGGTGTATTACATGGTCAGGATTTTCAATACTTAAACATATTAGTAAAACACACACAAAACTTTAAGAAGAAATATTGATGCTATTGAAAAGATTAAAATTCTTATAAAGACTCTTCAAAATAACACTTCAGAAAAGAACTATTGCCTTTTTAGCAGTGATAGAAAGATCTCTACAACAAGAAACTAGCAAAAGATTCCTTATTTCTTCCTCAGAATTTGTTGCAACTGGATAAACCCCTGTGAGTCTACCCGGGGAATTTAGATGAAGCTTTGTGATAACAGTTTAATTTTCAGTGCTTCTGTGTTATGATTTCTTGCCTTGGAGGGGAGGCTGTATGGGAGATGCTTTCGCACTTGCCAGAAGTGTTAGTGTTGGTGTCCTAGTGCTGGCTGAAGGATTGCCTGGTCAGTGGTGTGCCCTGTCTCTGCCAGCTGAATTGTCCTTTCTCAGCATGATCCCTCTGACGGTCTTAGAAGCCTTGGCAATTCCTACCTCCTTTTTTTCTGCCTCTCACTGTGGTTTGATAATTGAGGGGGTTTCATTTATTTATTTATTTTATTTTGACCTGCCTGCAACTGGGTTTTTTTCGCATCTTTTTGGTCTTTGGCCTAGTTGTGGTTAATACGTTAAAACTGGAAGTTGCTGCCTGTATGCTTCGTACAGTGGGTGGGAAGGCAAAACCTAAAGGGACCTTTAGTTGCCCTGGAGGGTGGCTGTGGTTTGGTGTTGAGAATAGCTGATGGCACTGGGATGGTGGGGGGTGACTGCTTTAAGTGGGCCACGGAGAGGGCATCACTAGTGATTCGTTTGTGTATCCAATCCACTGCTTAATACACAAGGTGGAAACTTTGTACACACGGAGAAACTTTGCAGAGCTACTTTGTGATTATTTTGTCTGTTAGTAGTGTTATCACAATAATACTGCAAGAAGAACAACACTATTGTGGACATGAGCTGTTCGTTAGTTTCTTAAATATTTTGCAATCAAATCTTCCTAAGATTTTCTGCTTTCTGTTATTTCTAACCCTTTAATGCTCTATAGATGTTACTGGGATGATTTGCATGTATTTTAACAGCTAGTAAATTCTGTGCTTTCATGCTCAATTTTAAATGCTATTTGAGAAAACTTTATGTACCCACTAAACAAAGATTTGTGGAATGTAAATAGCTTTGTATTCAGAAGTACATAGATTTAGCAGAAGAAATTTATCATAGGAAATTTCCTAATGTTAAATGTTAGGAGGCATCATAAAAAGTGCTTTATGTCTAACTATCTCTAGAACATTCAGGATTTGGAGTAGGAAATAAGAAAATAAATAAAAAATTGAAAAGAAAGAATGTCAGAAACATGACTCTTGTTCCTCCAAAGGTCTTGGCAGGTTTGACCAGGTAATAGGCAGAGATACTTCATATTGGTGTGATGAAAAAGTTGTTTAGGGCTTGCCCCTTATTTGTATGGAAGTTTATTTCATTGTTTGCATTCTAAGCTGTAAGGGAACTTTGTTGTCTTCATCTGCACAGAGGTGGCCCATGTAGGTGCCAGCAGCACTGGTACTGCACCTGCTCCTCTCAGCAGTGTCAAATAGCCTGAGAAAGGATTCACTTAGCTGAGGGAAAAAAACCTCCTGAGTATTTGTCGTTTTGTCTCTGCTGTTCTTCCTAGTAATGATTCAGTGCATTTTGCAATGCTTATGATGGGTCAAAGCCTCGTGTCTCTGTCCTGGGAACTTGGCAGGCATCTTTCCTCCCATCTTACTCATGGGAAATGATAAGTGCATGTCTGAGAATAGAGGCTGTACTTCTAATATGGTATTTCAAAGGCCTTTTAGCTAGCTTGTCAGAATGTAGTTAGTGTTCCTGCTTAGCTTTTTTTCTATTTAGATGCAACCAGTCTTGCATACTGCCTAGAATCTACAGATTTTGCAGCTTGAGCAGTATGTGTGCTGCAGTTTTAAGTCTCCTGCTGATCTGCTATTTCCCGTGCTGTGCATAGGTCCAAGGTACTGGCCAACAGGTATTTGTAAAGTTAAACAGGTGGTTGGTGACTCTGAGGAATAATGGGATGATACAGCTGTTGTTAGACAGAGATGTTCGTCTGGTGCAAGTAGTTTTAATTCACACTTTTTAATAATAAGTTCAGATGTGTATAGTGATTGATTTAATTTTATAGAATAACTAAACATAAAAACCCCTCCTTCCCCAAACAGGGCAGGGCTGGAATAGTTAAATGTTCAAAAACTCAAGGGTACAAATGAGAACATTAATTTCTTTGTTCTGCTTCTGATTTTCTTCAATCATAAATACAGATTGAATTACAGTGTAATGACTGTATTTTTCTTTTCAGGACATAAGGAACACTTGTACATTACAGAATGGATGAACAATCACAAGGCATGCAGGGGCCTACTACTGCTCCACCGTTTCAGCCACAGGTACATATATCTTTTTTTTTTTTTTAAATTTATTCAAGAGTGGATGCTATGATTTCTCAAATAGAGGAAGAGATAATTTTATTTCTTGTTGAAACAATGAAACTGTAAACAGACACAATGTGTTCTAGTTATCCTGTAATTAACTGTAATAGTGTACCAGCATGTACTGATGCATGAAGTTATTGCTGCCCAGGTGTGGGACTTTACACTTCCCTGTGTTGAACTGCATAAGGGTTCTGTCAGCCCATTTCTTCAACCTGCTGAGGTCCCTTGGGATGGCATCATCAGCTATTCCTCCTGTTTTTGTGTCCCCAGCAAACTTGCTGAGAGTGCTCTTTGCCCCATCATCGATATCATTAATGATCATGTTAAGCAGGATTGGATCCAGTATGGACCTCTGAGGTATGCTGCTTGCTACTGGCCTCTAACTAGACTTTGTGCCATTAGAAACTCCTTTTCTATTTGAAATTAAGTGCCTGGAAGCTCTGGCCTAGTCTGTTCTCTGCCAGGTTAAAGCACTGTACCTCATTACTTCCAAGGACATTTCAGAAATGCGGGTACTGAAACACTCCCAAACCTCTTTGCATATTGTGAAAAGGATAACAGGAGGAGGTAAAAAATCTGAGGCCTTAGACTTCTAAGCTATAGACCTTTTACAAGAGTAGAATTTTTTTTGTTTGTTTCTCCAGAAGCTGAAGAACAATAGTTTAAGTTTCTTCTTATGCAGAAGACATTGCACGTCCTTGCTCAACATTGCTGTTTTGCTCTCTGTTGACTAATTTGATAGTATTCCCCTAAAAATGAGGGCTCAGAGCCCTGTGGGTGTTCAGTGTGCACACAATAGACTTAAGGAGTGAAACATTTTGTTTTCTGTTTCATTCAAATTCTTTCCTAAAAATGTGTAACTTGCTTTGAAGTTTTTCAGTGGTATTTCTTAAGCCTTTTTCCTGTGTGGTAATAGCTAATTTTAAAACAATAATTCACGTTCTTCAGGGTGGTATTTCCCATTAAGGTGGTAGCCTTGTCATACTAGTACTCAGTACCAGGGTGGAAATCTAGGGAAATCTTCTGCAAAGCTTTACAGTCAAATTTTGAGCTGGTTCTTTGTATAAGTTTGGATTCTAAAGAAACTTTATTGAAGCATTGTATGTATGGAACAGTGTAGTTTCCTTGGGGATTTCACTGGTAACTTTTCCAAAAAAAATAATTTTTCTGCTGCAGTTTCTCATTTTGGAGCTGGATGTTAATCTGCTTAATGTTATCTCAACCTGAGAGAGCTTACTTTTATAGGGTAGGAATCCTCACAGAAGAAACCTGATTCGACGTGTGTAAAAAGCGTGTGGTATGATTTCTTCAGCAGAAAAGCCTGTCTCACCCCACTCATAACTGCTTATTAGAATCTCCAAATTGCTGCAGTTCAGCTATTTGGCTATATTTTTGAACTGAATCTGGGAATAATTGAAAAACAAACAAGTTGGTTTTTCATTTTAATTGAGCAATCCAGATCAGTTTATGACTCAGTATAGTGCACTATGGTGATGCAGCAATAGTGAGCAAGTTTCAGTGGGAGAGAACAAGGACCTCCTGGGAAGGCTTGATGACTGGAGAAGTGGATGTGGGCTGGGCTCCTTGATTGTAAGATACAGTGTTTTGGTGCATAAAGACTTCATTTGTTTCTTCAGCATTCTCCTAACAGATGTTGTCTTTTTATGTGCCTCCTTAGGTCAATACTGAAGTTTATTGATACTTTCTGGGCCTTTAGATGGTTTACATGATGGGAACTGTATGCAAATAGAAAGTTTTGGAAAAAGACTGAAGTAGAACACCTTCTGAGAGCACTGACTAAAGTGAGAGCTGCTGTGTGGCATAGTCAGAAGTTAACTGTGAATACCTTGTACTAACTATTGTGGCCTTTCGCCAGTGGATGCTTTCCTGTCCTGGCAGTTCTCTGCTAAATTGTGTATCAGCTCTTCTCTGAGACTGAAACCAGTCTGAAAATGAGGATAGTGGTTTCTGTTGAAGATTGCCTTAATTTGCTTGTCTTATAAATGAGCTCGTAATGCCACGATTAATTAACATATCAATAATAAGTATGCCGGTGTTAGTATATCATGATGTTTGTCTTCTCTCTTGTGGGAATGTTTAAACTGATCTTTCCTCACCTTGCGTTTCCTCTGTGTGCAGGATTAAAACTGAATATATGGCTGAGAACTGAAATTTTACCCAAGTGTATTCAGAACAGGAAAAAGACTAATATTCTTGCAGTTTTAGTACCTTTCTTGGCCAGAAGCTTAAGAAATGAATCTGAAAAGAGGAAGCAACTCGTTGGTTATGTTAATGTTGTCAGATAGATATCTCTTCCATGGAAATTGCAGTATTCCGGGTGCTCACTGATTCACTCGGCGAATACAATGTAATGTGATCATTGGTGAAGTGGATATAATCTGTTCTGTTACGGTCTCAGACTGAAGGAAATCTTTATCCTGCACAAGCTCATTCTCTACAAATTGCATTGTGGCGAGGAGAGACCCAGTGGTAGCTGGAGATGTGCAGCTATGCTGCTTCTCATGTCAGCTCTCCACATCTAAATTGTATGACAGGACAAGGGAGCAGATGAGACAAGCTGTCACTCAGCCACGCTGCCCTTTGAAGAAAGGCCATGGGGGGGAAAAGGTGCCGCAAATGGGCTGTGAAGTTTACATACACTGCCCACTGTTAAACAGATTACCTCTAATGAAGTGTCTAATGCTCAGGCCATATCAGCCTAATCCTTGGTGGCAGTTCATCCCTCAACTGCCAAAAAACACCGCCCTCTGGCCCTCTCTCGCCACTCTGGCCGCCAAGCACAGGGAGGTGCCCGGTCTTAATAAAGCAAGACAGTGTGTGATCTGACATGCAAATGTAGGTCATTGCATATGTAAATGTGTGATTACAAACCTGCATGCCAAAACACATTAGTGAGACTTTGCTCTCAGCATGCGGTTGTCACACTGCCTTAGTAGTTCACGCTAATATTTGTCAAGTTGCTGTGCAGAGGCTGCGACTCCCAATTCAAAGGGGAAGTACACAATACTTCTTAAATACAGCCTATTTAGAGAGTCTGTATCTTGCAGCTCTGTGTAGAGAATTTAAAATCTTGTAGGTGAAGTGTAGTTTTAGACGTTTTCCCTAAAAGCCCTGTAACTATGTCATTAAGCGGGGTCCCGCGCTTTGGGATGCATTGGAGCATTAATGCTGCACCACTTTTGTTAAAATGAGAGAGTTCTTGTATTTTGATTTCTGGAGCAACAGGAAGATATATAAAAATATATTGCATCTGTACTGAAAGAGGAGCATTAAAATGCTGGAATATTGGCATTGAAATTCTTTCATAAAAGCTGATCCTTTATTACTTTTAGTGTCTCTCTTCTTGTTAAGTGGGTGGTTGTGGGTTTGGGTGTGTTGTTTAGCCTTTTTTTTTTTTTTTTGGATGGAGGGAGCTAAAACATATAAAGAAAATGTGGCATATTAAAGCCCGATGGCATTTTTTCTCTCCTATGTCTCAGACTCCTAATAAGCTGAGAACGTTTTAGATACATCTCAAGAACTTAAAATTTTAAATTCTCACTCCACAAACGATGGTATGGATGCTTTCTTTAGAATGTCTTGTGATCAGGCTGGGACAGTTTTGGTATTAATGCACTGGAATGAGGCACTTTTAATAATTGAAACCATATTTCAACTGTGTCTTTACACTGGTAGGATTAGTCTCACTGACTTCAATGTAAACTTTTTTCCAATATCTTTTGATTCTAGAAAGCCTTGCGACCCGACATGGGCTATAATACACTTGCTAATTTCCGAATAGAGAAGAAGATTGGCCGTGGGCAGTTCAGTGAAGTCTACAGAGCAACCTGCCTCCTGGATGGAGTACCAGTGGCTCTGAAGAAGGTTCAGGTAAGGATGATTTTTCTACAAGTATTGGGAGGATTTGATACAGTTAAATTTGAAAGGCATGTGTTATTTAGATGTGATTTTAATGAATTTTGAAATACTTAGAGATGATAGGAGATCAAGAACTTTGGAAATTTATGATATGACTTTGTATACTAGTCCACAAAGCAGTGTTTTAAAAGTAAAGTCCAGAGTTGCTGGGAGAAGATAACATATGAAAATGAGCTGTATAAGAACAGTCCTAACCAAAGCTTGGAATTTATAAATAATATAAATATTTAGTGGTGTCTAATGTGAAAATATATTATGCAAATCCATGCATTTTTTATTAAATAAGAATCTGTAACTTTTCAGATAAGTAACTGTGCTTCAAAAGGGCATAAATCAAATATGGTGTATATGTAATCAATCTTGTAATAGTGAAAAGGAATTACTGTTTCAAAAGACTGAAAACTACCTGAGACAAGTATAAAGCAAAATTGTACTTGAATCCATAGCTCAGTGTTTCCTTCAGATTTCAGGATATAACTCAGTTCATATTATCATCTTCATGAATAATAAATCTGTGTGTGGGGCCCTATATGGTAATTAAATGAGAGTGCACTGTGGATCTAAGAGAATCCCACTGGTCAAAATATTTTCATGAGAACTCTGAACATTTCCAAGATTCACAGTTGAACCAGTGGTGAAACAGCAGTTCTGTCACAGAAGTTGGGACAAGAGCAGCAAGCTGCTTGCGTTACTGTGGCCAAGTAACGTTAAGCCCAGTCCTGGTAAATTTTGGCCTAAGAAATGGACTGATTATTTGTTCAGATATTCTGTCTTAGCAGTTAGCAGTTTTTAAAATGTTTAAATCAAAAGTGATAGTTTAAATCAAAAGTGTTTTTCAAACTGGAACATTTTCATTGTCACACAGGCAAAAGACAGCTTGAGCTATGCTTCTCTCCAGTATCATTTTCATTCTCTCTCTTTGTTTGGAGCTGCTCAGAGATGTTTGTTGTAAGACCATTCCTTGAGAAAATTCTCCACAGAATTTATTTTGAAAGTTGTCTGACAATGTGTTTAGTTTTGAAATCAAAACTATAACTCTCATTTCAGTTCTGATCTTGAGATGCTTAGCATAATACTTGGAGTAGTGTCATCAGTTCTGAAGAAGTATTTTTACCTTTATAGATTGCAAAACAATATGTGTAAGATTTTGTAGATGCTTTTCTAGTGTTTCTGCGTTTTAATAATTTTATTTTTGCTGGGCTAATGCATGCACTGTAAGTTTCTCTGTCATATTCTGACTTGCTGTTCCATTTCTCTGATTTCCTGTGCACCAGGAGGCTGGGCAAGTCCTGGCAGTCATAAAAAAGGAGACTTGGTTTCCCCCTTCTGGGAGAACTGCCAGATATATATTACTTCAAAAGCTGAAATATATTCTAAGAACATTGATCAACAGTCTTAAAACATTAGGCTAATTCTGCCTTCATTTGCAGTGTGTGAGAAACCAAAAAGGTCAAATGTGACTTGAAATGCATGTCAATTAGGGTGGATGTGGAATGCCTGGGTACTGGAGGAAAGTCATAAAGTCAGCCATGAAATTTTTATAACGGTGCTTGCCTTAAGAATACAGAGGCATTTTAGCATGTGTACTCCTAACAGTATTTCAGAAGTCAGTATGTATAGCTGTGTTCTCACATCAGACTTCACAGTTTGACAAAAGATTTTTTTTCAGTGCGTGAGGGCAACATCATGCTGTCTGTTTACAGGTGATGATTTCTCTAGCAGAAAAGCTTTCTTGTTTAATTTTTAGTTAATCCTTTAATAAATTTCTAAGAATACATTTGGTTGGTTGTAGGAAATAGTGTTAAAGAGTTATGGCTTTTCCAGATAGCTTTATCCTGATAGGGTTCCAAATATCTTAAAGTGTCCAACATAGGTGGATGGTTTCCTATTGCATGTTACTACCTAGTCCACATCAGGAGTGGCTGTGTTCTGTGATCTGTAAAGTCACTTTTACTGTGGAGGCTGGATGTATGTAGGAGACTATTACCTGAATGCAAAGTGAGACTTGATTAACTTGTAAGGATAAAAAATTCTGAAGTGTATAGTGTTGTCTTACCCAGAATTCAAAAGACTCATGGCGACACTGAGTGTTGGCACAGTCCTTGTGGGTTGCATAGTTGTCATTTAAAGATGTTCCTTTTGGACAGAAGACCATCTTAATTGTTACTGTGCTTCTGTTACCTTTTTTAAGATTCCCTAGAAATATTTTTGTTAAATATAGTCACAATACTTAATTTCATATAAAATTTGCTTTCACTCATGTCTTCTGGTGAGAAGTGGTAGCTTTTCAGAGGAACTCTGTGATGGTGCTTTTTCCTTTTAATTTCAGTCATGTTTCATTCAAATTAAAATAGGGCCTTTTTTTCTGATGCCTGTTTACTGAAAGCTCAGCATGGACAAAAAAGGAGGAATACTTCTTTCTGTTGTGAGAGAGGGGCTTTATTCTCTCTATTTTAGACCTGTGCATCGACATTGAGACTGTATCACTAAATGGTCTACATTGTGTTAAATAACGTAGCTGAGATACGAGCTTTCTTCAGCTTTGCCATTATCTGCCCATTCTCATCTCACATCTTCTCTACTACATACCTTTCTCTCCAACGCTGCAAGTTGTGTCTGTTTAACCCCCTCCCCATTTTGTTTTCCTGGCTGGGTTGGGTGTTCTCTTTATCTGTTTGGTCAGTGGTTCCCCATGTGTGCCTCTACTATCAGGACTGATGTGGCTTAGAATCCTTCAGTTACCCTCTCTTTCAGAGCTGCAGGATCTCTGGCCATTATTTGTTCCAAAAGGATTGCCAGTTTTGAGTTCTGACGAAGCTTTCCAAAAAGAGTGTTTATTTTCCACTAATAAAATTTTATTTGGCTAAAACATGTGCAATATTGATAAATGTTATATTAATGTGTTCAAAATGTATGTTTGTGGAATGAAATGTGAGCAGAAGCAAGTGGCAGTAAGATGCTGTGGGAGAAAGGACAAGCAGATGGTGACAGAAACCACTTTTCTTGAATTTGAAGCAGAAACTACAGAGTCCATATGACAGGAAGTTGTAGTATTGGTTTGCAGTAGGGTATGTGGCACAGTGAGAACTGTTAAACTTACAGGCTTTTTTAATAGTAGTTTAACAAGCAGAATACACAAAATAGTATGTTGAGTCTTTTCTTCTTGTTCTACCATTTATGATTCATCTTCCAGTGTGTAGTTTGCCTATGTGTAATTAGCAAAGTGGTATATACAGTAATTAGGTTCTCTCTTTTTCTGCCATGGAAATGGGAACTATGTTTCTGAGATGCTGTTGAATTATAAATAAAAACAAGTAAAAAACAGATCTTCACTACTTAACTTTCATTAGTGTCTAAACAACACTTAGAGTCAAAGAAACATCAGAAAACATGAACCACTAATAGTGACCATAGCAGTATGAACTGAAGAGGTTCTAGTTAAGTGTCTCAGCACGTGTTGAGTTTCAGGTCCAGAGTATCCTGAGGATGATGCCTGAGGAAGCACCAGTACCTCTCTGTTACTGCCACTCAACGTCACCCGTGCAGCAAAACACCCATGGGTATGGTGCAGAGTTCTGAGCAATGAGCATTCCAGTAGTCACTTCCAAGGGGAAAGTAAGGAATTACCAGATACTGGAATAAATGCTCAGAAAACATCCTTAAACAGCAAAAAGTGCATATCTAAATCAGTGACTGTAAGGCTGTATGAGTTTACTTCATGAGTTATTTTTTAAGAAGCCTTGGCTATTCAAAATGTAGTATTTTATGCAAAACTGACTATTGCAACAAAAGTCTCAATTCATTAGACTTCTGCCTTACGTTGTTCTATCTTTCTTTCCTGTTCATTCCAAAATTGGAGGCCCCATGTTAGACATTCAGACAATGAATCCTTTTATCTAGCACTTGCATTCATTATTCATTGTGCATTGTCAGTGGATTGCTACTTCAGGCCTGAATTACAGTTAATTAATCTTAGAAAAACACTTGTAATTTCACACTTTATGAAGCACTATTGTCTCAGCACAGCAGGGCTGTGGTGGCAAAATACTCTAATACTTGTATCTCTTAATATTTATGTTCATTCAGGTCTTTATTTTGCCTACTTCTCTGAAGGCTTATGTTACAATAGTCATGCTTGTGTTTTGTTTTGGAAATGCTTTTTGATATTTTTATTTTATACAGAGTCTCAAATGGAACATAAATAGGTTATGTAGTGACTTAAATGATAAGGTTAGAAAGATGTTTATCCTTTTCAGTACTGAATAGGGAGAACCCAGAAAAGTGATGGACTTGAGAGTAAATCAGGCAGATTCCCAGCTTGTCACGTTACTTCAGACGATGAGTTCTGTTGATAGCTGGTAATTGGTCAGATACAGTCTACATTTAAAAGCCAAGGCCTGTTGTTGTCCATCAGGTGGTTAAATGTTTCTAAACTTTCTTGCTGTGCCCATAGCTTTCTAGGAGCTGTAACTGCATGTGTGAGCACGTATGTAAGAACTTTACTGAGCAAGTTGATTCATGTGTTGCAACTTCTTTTAGTTTACACATCTGCATAGGAACAGTTCCTTCTCTGTAGCTTACAATAGCTAAGCTAGTATTCTAAAAATACCTGTATCTCTTGACAGTACTTACAACTGAAGTTTCTGGAATGCTGGAAGGAACAAAAGTTGTAATCTACGCTCACGTGAAGGTACCAGAGAAGTGATGGAATGCCAAGTTAGAGATCTGTTAGTTGCATAGCACACAGAAGGGAGTATTTCGTAATAAGTATCCATGTGTATTTGCCCTTTCACTCTCCCTCTGTATGCAGTTGGTTGCAGGATGAGATGAAAAACAGTGAGCTGAAAAGATACTTTTCATTTCACTTAGGTGCTAATTGCCAAGGGCTGTTACAATGCTCCTTTACCTCTTCAGCTGTGTTTACCTAATTGTTTTAAAGAATTTCACAGTAATTGCTAAGGTGTGGTGCTTACCACAGCGAGATTTTTTGGATTATACTCTTCATGAAAACCCTCCCATCATAAATGTGTTTGCTGTATTTTTTGCTTCTTACTAGATTTTTGCATTAGGCAAGCATAATTCCTTTTTAAAATATGAATCTTGTTATAGACTATATATCTTAGAAGCAAAAATTGGGGAAAAATAATTAAAATTTTAAATAGAAAGTATTACTCTATGCAGTTTGTGCTGAGTGGAGTTTGTGCTGACTAGAGAAACATAACTCTAGCCTGAATTAGCCTGTGATCCTGGCATCATAGGTGGAGTCAAGAATTAGAATTTATTGTTAGTCTAATGAATGCCCTAGCAGTCTAATCAAAGTGCAGCAGTTTTTATTGTTAGCCAATTACAATGATGTTAATGCTTGTGCTCTAATGGCTGCTAGTTTCCAATAATCAGTGTATGGGGCATCATCAGCAATCTGAGCCCTGCTGGAAGGACGGCACTGGTAGTGCCTGAACCTGGGATTTTCCTGGCTGCTTTCCAGCAGTCAGTTGCTAATGCTTTGTGTTGATCCAAAAGCTTATCACTCAAGCTTATCCAAAAATCACTCTGGTTTTGTTAGGCCTTGTTTGTATCTGCTATAATTTCCCTAAGACCACAGAGCTGAGCTGAAATCTAAACCCAGGTTAGACACAAGTCATTTGACTGCCATGACTTTGTAGTTCACTCAGCTGCAGGGCATGTGCTGCTACAGCTAAAGCCAAGCTCAGAATGTGAGTGCAATCCAAGAGAAGGCCGTCAGGAGGCTGGAAGTCCTTGGTCAGTGTGTGTCTGGGGTGGAATGAGGCCCGTGGCCAGCTGAAGGCGATGGTGGTGCTGCCTCTGCGAGGCTGCAAACCCTGTGCATGTGAGAGATGTGTGTGCAATGCTCGTGCTGGAGGGAGGGGAGCATAAACTGATGTTTCAGCTTGACCTGCTGAGTAATAGGAGCTGAAGATGGAATTAGTCCTCTTGCAGAAGTGTGAACTGTTACAGTTGTGAGGGGAACACTGACATGCCTTTGTAGTGTTAGGTCAGTGGTCAGTCTGCAGTAAACGGCAGGCAGGAACAGCTTCTCCTGCTGAACAGGCCTGCTGCCCTGGGTAGCTGTGACATGTGCTTGAAAGGATCTTCTTGAATTCTGAAAATCTTTCATTTTTCAGACTAAGACGTTCTTCAATGCTGAGTCACCTTCTGGTGAGGAAGCATGGAGGTTTTCTCGTTGTGTTGACAGTAACCTCTTTGTGTGACCTGACATGGCTTATTATACTGGGGTCCTCTGATCTGAACTGCAGCAGTTTTGGCAAAATACAAAGATAATCTATTCAGAATGAAAATCTCTGGAAGCTTTTTGCATCTGGTATGAATCAGAGGTTCTTCAGTGGCCAGGGATTGAGTCATTTTCTTTTTTTTGGGTTGTGGAGGTTTTTATACCAGTCTTAATGTTGGAGGAGGTTGATGTCTGTGAAACTGAAATTCTGGTTTCTGGGAAATGCTATTTATAGTCTCTTGAGATTAGAACTGGATCAAATTCCAATGAAGAACCGCAAGAATGCTAAACAGTAAATCTTCAGATTTGTCTGTATTTGTGTTGGTAAGGATCAAATCAGACTCATTTTTTCTGTGTTGCTTTATTTTGGTTAATGTTTGAAATATTCAGTGTAGCTGTGACAAATTTGCGAAGCTGCTGTATGAAGTGTAGCAAAGTATAGAGAGTCATATTTATAAAACTTAAGTCAGTCCTTTAGTGAGAGCAGCTGCTTGGTATAGTCTACTCCAGAGCTGTTTAATAACAAATTAGAAGTACTGGGAATACTATGCAGAATACACTAACAAAATTCTTTCTTTCCTGTGCCTTGATTCTAGATCTTTCACAATCCTGAGTCTAGGGCTTTATTTTTGTGTTGTTATTGCTCTACACCAGGTACTGATTTATGTCCCTATCAGAGGCGTAGCTTATAAAAAAGTTTTCTTGCAAAACCTGTTAGCTTAGGTGTGTAGGGAAAATATATTCCTGGAATAAGTAAGTTACTGTACCTCTTGGTATATTGGAGCAGGTGCAAACTTCCCTGCTTTGTCACAGAATGAAACTCTTCTGGTTTGAATCTTAAAATGGTGCTTTGGTAAGTGTTCCAGATCCTCAAAGTATGTGTTTGTATACAGCTTTCAATCTGAAATTCCATCTCCAGTTTTGGTTAGGCTCCAATGTGTTTGGAGTTGAATCTCAGTAACATTTCTAAGGAATGCTCTTATCTCAGTGTTATCTAGAACTTGGCAAAAATGTGAAGACTCAAGAAGTGCACCTGTATCTGCCCCCTTTTTTTCCCCTGCTCCCTGATACACACTTTAATTGACTGTATTTGGGAGAGAGTGTATAAAGTTTTCTGTTTGCTGGTCTCGAAGGTTACAAGGGAAGACAATTACGATTTCATGCCTTCTCAGTGCTTCCTCAGTTAATGTGCTGCTTCTCATATTTAGATTTTTTCCTAGGTGTTTGCTAGAAAAATCCTTTCTCTACCAAACATGAGGACTCCAGTCTATTGTCAAAATTATTAAAGAGCAATGCTTTTTCATTCGAAGTTGAGATCTATAATAGATACAGACTGTTTAATCTCCTTCACTAAATTTCCAACTTTATCTCATAAACTCTATTTTTTATGTTATCTATCGGTGTTATTTATCTTTCAGTACTTGTAATTTCACATATAGTACTAACTCTCTTCTTCTACTATGTCTGAAATAGCTGAAATAGCTTTAGTGTTAGCATTCCATTCTTGTGACTTCTCTGCTGTGTTCTTCTGAAGTCCCCCACAGTCTCCTCCTTGAATAACTGCTTTTAACTCAGTCTGTTTATTTCCCATCATCCTGGCTTTAATATACAAGTAGTTGTGAGATGGTTTATTCCCTTTCTTTCTTTTCTCCTCCCCTTTTTTCTTTTACTACCTCCAAGTCTGGCATGTCTTTCCTTGAGTTATTTTTGTGTCAAAAAGTGAGTCATATCCACTCCAACCTCCTCTTTCTCATGCAAGTTCTGAAGACAGAGTGGATATCTGAAAGGAAGTGGTGTTTAGTCAGGAGCAGGTGTGTGCTCTGTGAGGATTGTGCTCTATGCATGCAGTTTCCAGACTTCTTTCAGCTGATTAAAGGGATGACAAACTCAGTGTGCAGAGTGGCATGGAAAATGAAGATGAGGTTTAGAAGATCATAGGCAAACTTCCTGATTTGTTTGAATTTCTTCAGGAAGAGCAAATGAAGGTGTGATTTACATGAACAGTTAGGTGGTCAGTTTGAGAGGACCTCCCTGCACACATTCAGTGCTGGAGTTAGTGGCAAGATATCAAATGGAAGTTGTCAGCTGTTGAGCTCTTGGAGATTTTGAGCTTATGGAACCAGATACCACTGATCTTCATAGCAGAAAAAATGCTTTTTCCTGGAGACTATCTAGAAACAAATGATGCGCATTGGCAAGTCGTAACTGAAAAATTTAATCTCATAAATATTGCGATAATAAACCTCATAGAGTGTCTTTTACGATTCTTGTGAATAGTTTAAAATGTAGTAGGCAGACCACAAGGGAGTTGATGATTATTTTGGTTTGGCTGGTTTGGCTTTTTTTTTTTTTTTTTGTTAAATTCAGAATGTAATGGCAAAGGAGACAGGAAGGATTCCTAGCAAGAGACTAAGGGGAAAAAGTGGAATGCTCAATACTAGTAAGAATCAGTTTGTGGCAATGAAGTGGCAGGAATGGGTTAGGACCCTGCAATTTGGATTAGAGCCACATATAAGGAAGTGTGCTGAATATTCCTCTGTATTTGAGCAGAAATGTGGAGATGGCACATACGTAATTGAAAAGCTTGTACTTAAAATGGACTTGTTTCCTGTGAGGGGGCTAAAAGAATGGCCATAGCACTAAATCAGTGCATCAGGTCATTAGGAATATTTCATAGTGTAATATTACGTCTTGCCATGAAGTGCATAATTCAAGTTGCTTTATGGATGCTAAAAAGTAACGAATTTGCTTTACTTTTATCACTTAATAAAAATCTTCTCTCTCTCTCATGCCTAGATATTTGATTTAATGGATGCCAAAGCACGTGCTGACTGCATCAAAGAAATAGATCTTCTCAAGGTAAAACATTTGTTTAAAAAATGTGCAGCCATCATCACAGTATACTAAGTTTTTCATAGACATACTTAGTGTCCACTCCTGTTTGCGTACTGTTTCTGTAAGCCTAACTTGAACAGTTTTGTGGTCTTTATTATTGTAGAAATTAACATTTAGAAGTAAATCCAATAGAAAAATGAACAACACTTGAAGTAGAAACTTCTACCAGAACTGCAATATTGTGGACAACTGTGTCCCACATACAGTAAAATCTTGATTTTAAAAACTGACTTTGCTGTTTCAGATAACAGTTTAGCACACTATTGGATATACATATGGAAGCAAAATTCCTCTAAAATTGTAATGTCAGTCGTCATGTTGATCCTGAAATGCAACCATGTTCTTGAAAAGTATTTGTAAATACTTCTTGTAAACATATACTTCTTGTAATTTGTATCATAGTGTAATAGATTTTAGGGGTTGGTTTTTTTGCCTAAATAAGAATGTTTTGTGTCAGTCTTAGTAAATACGGTGTACTCTACGCTAAAATGGGAATTATTCTTTTGCTTTCTTAGCAACTGAATCATCCAAATGTTATTAAATATTATGCCTCATTCATTGAAGACAATGAGCTGAACATAGTGTTGGAATTAGCAGATGCTGGAGATCTCTCTCGAATGATAAAGGTAGGAATTAACTGTTTTTTAAAAAAAAAAATGAACTTGTACTTATCAATTCGGGCTTTTCATTCTACATGCTCGTCAGTGGGGGAAATGCAGTGAAAAAAACATCAGGAACTGTAGAGAAAAGTGGAGTGTTAAGACTGACTTGCTGTGTGTTTTCTTTTTTTTTTTAATATATGCCCAATATTGATGCTTATCTAAGTATTTTTAACACTGTTGCTCAGAATGTAAGTTCAGTTGGGAACATAAGTAGGCTGAAGTTATATTAGTACTGGGGAGAAGGAGAAAAAACCTATAAAGAAAAGCAGTGTCACCAGCGTTTAGAACAGTGTGTTTTAATGGCATTCCTGATTTTTTTTTTTTTGACACAATTGTTTTGTGTTCCAATGTTCTTTTTTCTGCAATCTTATGAAAGCAGAGAATAACTGGTGTCATATGGCAGAAGTGTCTTCTGCATCTTGAACTAGAACTGCTAACAACTTTGAAAATGTATTTTGTATTTGTTTGGTGTCACATGCGGTGAGCTTACTGATACCTGGTTGTGCCTTATGGGTTAATTGCCTTTTTTTTGTGGTTCTTAAGTGCCTATTTTTAGTTAATGAGAAAAAATTTATCCCAGACCCACTGTATAAACTTCTGTATTTGCAAACTTATGTTAAGTTTTAGCTGCCTTTTTTAATCTTTGTTTGTCATTTGACAACTACTTCCCTTCTTTCCTTTCCCTTTTTCCACTGCATCTCAGGTTTAGCGTGTCCTTTTGGGATACTTTCTTGTGTGCATACCATGTTGTTGCTGTCAGCAGAGCACACCACCACTCTGGGCACAAACAATGCCACTCAATGATTGTTGGCTCAACAGCAGCCAGGCACAGAACACAGACTGTCTTGCTCAGGACATACATGAATAGAGAATGTTAATTTCTTCATTAATGACTTTCATACTGATATTTTTTTTTTGGGCTTTTGAAGAGCATTCCTTTCTAAATTGATAATTGTAAGGTAGGACAGTCAAAGTTTAGTTCTAAGCAGGTTGACAGCATCTGTTAATATTTATAGCCAAACGTGATATTTTTCTTCATCTCATAAATTATTAATTCTGTGGGCTTACATTTCATAAAACATAAAGGAAGGTTTGTCTTTTCTTTTGAATGTTCAGTTTTGACACAACAGTTACTAATGTGAGTACTCTGTGACAGATTGCCTTATGGCATGTCTGGTCTTATGACCCATTGAAGCTTTCTCTTTTTTGCTTGCTTTTTTTTTTTTTTTTAATTACTATTTAATTTTAGATCCAGTGTGTGGCTTTTTCAGTGCAGTTGGCCTCATTATACCTTGTCCAAGTTGGTGGGTATTTCTTACAGGATCGATCTTGGAGGTACTTTGTGACTGTCCTCTTAACACAGGGATCATGTTTAATGTAGCAAACTTTGATTGCTGTTTGATGTTAATGACAGCCTATCAGGCTATTATTAAATATGTATGAGGTGTCACAATGCGCTCTGTTTTCATGCTGCTGGTGGAGGAAATGATTTGGTGGATTACTCTGACAATATGAGTTTAAATGTGGGGCGCACCAGTTATGTAGCATCTTCTTAAGTATTTTAAAAATTACCTGAAAAATAAATGATATGTAATGGCATGGAAACTTCCTAGAAGCATGGCTGCCTGTCACACTACTCAAGTAAATCACTATGTTGTGCTATTAAGGCAAACCATGCTTTGGTTTCCAGTGTTCTTTCTAGAATGCTATTCTGAGTTTGTTGGAAAATGTTGAGACACTCCCAGAAGAGTGTTTGGGTATCAGGCTTGTTGTGTGATGTGTAGAAGGGATCAGGCATGTTTTTGAAATTGTAAATGACCACAGCCTGAATGACATTGAAACCAATGTGAATGTGAGGGAAAACTACTTAACTAGTTTACTTGGGTATTTGTTATGACATTATTGGCACATCAGAGAATACTTACAAGGCTGCTGTGCCTGGCAGTGCACCTTAATGAATTCTTTAGTTCTTCCCTTGATGAACCACATCCTTGCTGCCCAGCTTTTATTTAGTCCCTCTTGTTACCTGTGAATAATATTCTTTGTCCCCATTGAGTGGAGTAGGGAGGAAAATCACTTGGTACATTCAAATGTATTCTAATAGAATTCATAGAATCTGCTCTATGTCCAAAAAAAAGAAAAGGCAGCTGTGCATTGGCATTTACATGTCACATAATGAAATCAGAGCTATCTCATGTTCTCTCTGCCTCTGTGTTGATGTATGTACATACAGAGATTTAATCCACTTTACCTTAATTTTTTTTTTAATTACCTCTGGGTATTTAAAAAAAATATGGGAGATGTTTCAAAATAGCCTCCCTTCTCAAAAGCAGGAGGATCTGAAATGGAGAATTTCTTACCATACAGCTTTTAATGGCCTGTTAGAATTCTTGGACACGTCATAAAACCGAGAGGCAAACATCAGTGATGGGGAAATACTTGCATTTGACTCACAGTTGGTTTTGCACTATAACTTGAACTTCAACACTGTGTAACCCTTGTGTGGGGATGGTGAAAGAAGGGAAAATTCTTGGTTTTCTGCATCTGTGAATTAGGTTGCTGGATACTATAACTTCAAATATGGTACGGGTAAATAATTACTGTTGTGCTGTTTCTCAGTTGCTCAGGGTCTGTTTGTTGGTATCTGTGGTCTCTACTGAGGAACCTGTGATAGTCTGTGGCTGCCAAGGTTAAGGGTATTTCATGAGAACTGTTGTTTCTTCATAATAGCACTTCCTTCTGCAACACAATATGTTGTAGGACAGGTTTGAGGCTTTGATCCCTTTTCATATTAGTCCTGGTTCTCTACCACAAGCAGTGACAAGGTGAACTTTTTCTGTGGATTTTTTAGTTTGGGATTTTTTTTCCCAATCAACAGTTGATATGTTAGATGAAGAAAATGCCACAAATAAAGAAGAATCTACTAATTGAATAAATAAAGAAAATACATTATAATAAGTCAGTAAAAAGAGCTAGTTAGTAAAGTCTGTCCTGAAGATGGTGAAATAGGAGAATTGAATTATCTTGCAGAATAATTAGCATATTAGTTAAGATTGAATATAGAGTTATTAGGCTTGTAAGAAGAGATGTTATCAAGACACTAAAATGTTGGGGTTTTTTATTTAACTCAGCAATAAACTTCTAGGTCTATTTTCTGCAAATATATTTAGTTTTAAGGTTCTTGCAGCAAATAAGCTTAGTGCACCAAAAAAATGCAAACTCTAAACTGAATATGTCATATAGATCTTAAGGAAGTTAAATATGTTTTGGGAACAAGCATGAAAGCTTTCATCTAAGAAACTGAAAATAAGTTTCCATCTTTTTCAAGATAGATGGAAAGTAACTTGAATTCTACAAAATGTCACCCAGAACTTCACCCACTCTTCAGAAATCACTTTTTGTGTGTATTTTTTTTTTAACTTTCAAATAAAGGAATAAACATACTATAATTAGCTAGGTAAAATGAGACAAATATCCTAAAGCCTTTCATCAGTATGAAGTTCATGGTGATACCTGAGGTTTTTGTAGTTGGGAACAGAGAATTCTTTGTCCTTAAACTCGTTTTTTATAGGGTAGTCAAAAAACAGAGATAGTCACTTCTTTCCAAGCAGTTGATGCATATCTAAATAGCTCCTTGCAGTAGCTCTGTTTAGACTTGTTTGAAATCTCAATGGTTATCACTCTGATGTTTCACATCAGTGGTGGATATTTGGACTTTTCCATATGAAACTGCATCAGGCAATTGCTCCCCTCCACATGGTTTGGAATGCAGACTCTCCTTCCCATGCCAAAATATATTAGCAATGGGGTCTTCTTAAACTTCTTTGCCGCTTCCCGTCTGCCCGTAAGTGAAGATGCACATGGAGTAGCTGTCCAGGGCAGACTGAACAAGCAGCTGGATCTCCTGGAATATTTCCTGCTGGGAAGCTCCAGGTGGGAACACACGGTCAAAGCTGAAGTTGTAGGGCAGCTCTGGCTGCCGCTCCCGCCCCACGTGGGACTCATCACCATGGGATTCATCATCATGAGTCCCTTCACCTTCCATGGTGAAGGTTTTTCCGCTTCCCATCTGCCTGTAGGCCAAGATGCACACGGAGTAACCGTCCAGGGCAGACTGGACAAGCAACTGGCTCTCCTGGAATATTTCCTGCTGGGAAGCTCCGGATGGGAACACACGGTCGAAACTGAAGTCGTAGGGCAGCTCCAACTGCCGCTCCCGCCCCATGTGGGATTCATCACCATGGGCCCTTCCAAGGTGAAGGTTTTTCCGCTTCTCATCTGCCTGTAGGCGAAGATGCACACAGGGTAGCCATCCAGGGCAGACTGGACAAGCAGCTGGATCTCCTGGAATATTTCCTACTGGGAAGCTCCGGGTGGATACACATGGTCGAAGCTTAAGTCGTAGGGCAGCTCTGGCCGCCGCTTCCGCCCCACGTGGGACTCCTCAGGCTGCATGAGGACGAGCGCTTTGGGGTTCTGGGGGGAGAAGTGCAGGTACTGCAGCCCCCGCTGCTGCTCTTGACTCCTCTGGCAGCACCGGCAGCATGCGGCAGAACACACACATGTTCCCCTTGAGCTCCTGGATGTCCTTGTGTAGGTGGTGCCGCTCCATCTCCAGCAGGTGGATCTGCTCTTCCTGCTGATCCAGGAGGGTTTTTTGGGATCCTTAACCTGCTCCTTCCCCAATGCTGTAATTCTAAACCCTGGTTCCCTCCTTCCCCTGTAGGGTAGGGAGGTGCCGAAGGGATGGGGGCGGGTTTGTCCCTGCCCCTCATGGCAGAGCTTGAGGTCCCGTGTCAGCTGGGGTGGGGACCCCGGCTGTTGACACTGCCCCCGCTCCTCCTCCCACAGTCGTCATCATCATGGCCAGGCTTTGCGAACGAAGATTTGAGAAGGGCTCTACCCACGCTTGCTACAAGTGTGCTGATGGCTAAAAAGGCCAATGCGAGAGAGACAAGTCCAGT